TCAACTTTTTGTTAGGGAACATGAACACAGTTCCAACAGTATAAAAAAATAGATTGTGCATTTACCAATTGGTACTTATAGCACTGGGATTATAATGCATATCTTTTATAGCTATCTTAGTTATTAGTGATTGGAAATTTTCATAGTTGCATTCTTAATATTCCTAGAAAATAGATTGGGGAGAAGGACTGATATAGAAGGTTTAGGGACTCACATTTTTAAAATAGATTTCACAATTCTTCATCTAACACAAACTTATTTTTTTTTCTGGAATTTGAATTATTAAACCTAAAAATTGGGTCTAAACTTAAGCATGTCTTTTTAAACTTTTGAAAATTCCTGCAGGGCAGAATAGTATTTCTGAAGATGGGGTTTTAATGTGGATTGCCATTGCAAAGAGAGCTGCAGTTAATCAATTTCACTTGGTACATCAAACCGTCCAGAATAGGTAATATTTAAAGCCCAAGACTTTTCACACACGAAAGTGAGATATAATTTAATGCATGTCAGCCCTAATTTAACACTTTTGATCAGAACATCAAATGTTCCATTAGTGACACTTAATTTTCTCAGCCTGTTTGATGATAATAATTGCTAGAAGCCCAGCTGTTACTGACTGAAGCTCCTAACCAGTCTGCTTTAATTTCTCATCTTTAGGAATTTCTTCCATTGTCAAATTAAGTGAAGAAGTATGATTTCTTTGAACAAGAATACTAAAAATCATGTCCCACTTCAAAAAGTGATCTTCAAGAATTGGCACTACTTAGAATACCTACCATAGTCTCGACTTCAGGAAATCTAAAGTCACTACTGCTTAATTTTCAAATGTTTCTTTTTAGTTAAAAGGACATTATACATACATAGGCAAAATTGTCAAAAAAAGAGGAAGACCCTCAGCTCATATGCTATAAAGTCAATCCCTTATTTAACTTATTTGCCTACTCTTCATCATAGATTTCACTCTTTTTCTTAAATTGTGATTTCCTGTAGACTTTTAATTCATCATAAGGAGTTCATGTCGAGGGATGAGCCAAAAAGACTACACAATAGGAAGATGTTGAAGCCTACTATGGCTTAGGTAATAGAGTGGTCTCTACATCTTTAACGTTTTTATTTGAAATAAATTATCCAATTTCTTCAATATTTCTATTGTTTTTTTGGGGGGGGGTTGGTTAACAGAAAGTTAAATTTTGAGATCCTAACACAATTAAAAGCCATAGTGAATCATGCCTTAGGCCAGGCCCAGTGTCTGAAAAGAAAATATTCTATTACCTATTACACTGTGAGCCATACCTGGAACAACCACCCACTTAAATGCAAATGGCCACTGGAGTTTCTTACATTTTCTTTGAAGCTTTAAAGTCTGCAGAGCTGTACAATATCCTAAAGAAAGGCATCATATAACAATCTTTTTTGAAGGGGGTAATGGGTACAAACTGACCAATAAACAGTAGCACAAAGCTAGATCCCCCCCCCTTTCAATTGTTAAACCCTTGGGAACTGGTAAGCCTTGCTAATGTATCATTTCAAAGAATTGTCAACAGACTTGGATCTTCTCTTGCCTCTGGACAACTCCAAACCAGTCTTCCAGAAATGCCTATCAAAAGAAATGTCATGCTAGCAAGAAATCAGGAGTCATGGGCCACCTTGAGAGTACTAACTAGAAAAGGCACTCTAAATTCATACCATAGTATTTCTTGACTGGATTTGCAGTTTTCACTATGTCACAATATTTTTTCAAACATTGCCCTAATGTCTTGTGTTAAACAAGCCACATTGTTTTCCAAACCTTAGTTTATGAATTAATAAATGACTCTGGACAGCTCCTCAAATGCAAAAGAGCAGCAATTTCATAAAAGCAAAGACATATCTATAAAACAACAACCTTTCAAAGAAAAAGAAACATTCATCCATACCTGACTCCAGTTTAAAGAAACAATCCATCTTAATCCAAATCCTGGGGAAAAAGCCAGTTTGTAAGTACTTGAAGGCTTATACAATAGGGATATGATGGGATTTGTCTATCTAGGACGTTATGGTTGGTTGAATTATGCGTACTTATAACAAAGCAGAATTTAGCAAAGTTATTGCATTTCTTTCTTTTATACAGACCACTACATAAACATAAAAAGCTTAAAGTTTCCCACATAAACCAGAGATTGCAGTGTCCATATAAATCCTAGCATAGATGAATTATTTTAGATTTTTAAAATTATGTAATTAAAATATATTCAGTGATCTGGAATAACAAGCAATGGTCATATAACACAAGATTACATTGTTACCAACTGAAAATTTGCAAGAAATCAAAATATTTAACGTTTAAAAAAGAAGCCCCTGGGCAAGATGCAATATTAACCCCCCCTCCCCCATCCCCAGAGTAGGGGAGTTCTTTAGACTACAAGTTGGGATCCCTTAGTTAGCACAGTATGTAAACCTAACCATTTTTTTCTTCAATCAGTCTCTTCCACTGAAATACTACATAGGATATTTTATTGCTCCAATATTTCAGTAAGTCGTGCTCAGAATAGCACCAAATGATTGCAACACGGGTTGCTCTAGTCTAGTGATATTGTGCTAGCTCAATTTTTTTACTGAAGTCAAAGTTTGCTAGACTAAATAAAGCAAATAATACACAATTCTTTATATTGTGAAAATAAGCCCACAAATCTGTCCTCCACTTCTGCTCCAGGTAAGAGATGGCAACTATATACTGTACATTTCAATTTTTTTTTTTGTTTCACTTTGGCATTAGAATGATTCATTCTGTTTGGATGAATTGCGTGTTTTTTTTTTAAATTGCTGTTCAAGAGCTGGTGAACTTTCCATCTGACAGAACTATTGGGTAGAATTTTCTTGTCAAAACTATCCATGTGCAATTACATGACTACTTTTCTTCCATCTCATTTCTTCTCAAGTTATTGATCTGCCGCTCTTATATACCCTGTTAGAAATCCAGGATCACCAAAACCAAAACTTCTAATAAATTTGCCCACAAGACCAGAATCAAACTGTCGACAAGGGAGGTATGCCACTTTTCTGCATGGTGGACTTTGTACTTAAAAAGAAAGTGAAATTTTGACATAAATGTGTATATAATCAGAGGAAGAAACAGCCAGCTAGTCTAAAAGGCGACTCATGCTTGAAATCAGCGTAACTGATTTTATCAAGTTTGCTTTCAAAACCTATCGTAGATTTCCAAAACCCTTGATCTCGGAAATGTTTCCTTAAATAACAATGCTTTTGGACCTACCATCTTCTTGATATGGTATATTGATTATAAGATTCATTAATTTGGAATATCTATATCTATATATTTGTTTCTTATGCAGAACATGAAAAATATATAATCAATTTGAAGCCTTATATCAATGAGAAATTATTGCTACTAATCAGGGCAACAGTGCAGTATTTTGGCTTCAGAGGCTAAAAGATATTTTGGAGCTATCAGATCAAGAGACATTTAGGATCTCTCTGCAATTTCTAAAAGCAGCTGTGATTTTCCTGGGATTTTATAATTCTAGCAGAATTTGGCTAGAATTTAGGATTACAGCTCATGCCTCTTAACTAATAAAAGCCTTTTAAACTGTTTTAATTATCTAACAGAATACCCTTATCAGCATTATTAGAGTGGGAAAAAACCCTCTATTCACTCTTGCTTTCTCAAGACAATTATCAGGATATTTTTCCTTATATATTCAGTTTTCTGAGTAGAGCCACCAGGATCTCATTTTCTTCCCTTTTATTTTCAAGAATTGCCATCCTGCTTAAAGGAACATTTTATATGGAAGGTCAGTCTCATATTGAAAAACACCTATTTCCATTTAATTTCAGTTACATGGTATTATTTAGAGATCACATTCACAGAATTTGTAGTACCAAGGTGACATGAAAAGTCAATCTTATTTGAAATTGCAATGGTTTATAGTGCTGAAGATTTTTAGTATCGTCTTATTGCTGCGGTTGTGACTATTTTTTAACTTGCTGAAATAATACAGCCTTTTGAAAGATGTGTTGAGATGTCCTGCCTATGAATTACTTTCAATATTGGTAATAGCCATTGAAGGTCTATCATGATAAATGATTATCAGAAAAGTTGTTTTCTAACTTAGATAGCACCTTAGATGTTAGCACAGATCTGCAGTCACTTTTCAACTGATTTACAGCCTGGAGATAATTCAACCATTTTGATAATTAGCAATCCTCCCCCCTCAAGTTTCAGAAACAATGGATGGAAACTAAGCAAGGAAAGCAGCAACCTGGAAATAAGGAGAAAGTTCCTAACAGTGAGGATAATTAACCAGTGGAACAGCTTGCCTTCAGAGGTTTTAGGGGCTTCATCACTGGAGGTTTTAAAGAAAAGACTGGACAGTCACCTATCTAAAATGGCAAAGGGAGTGGTGGGATTCAGCCAGTTCGCACCTATTCGGGAGAACCGGTTGTTAACTTTCTAAGCAGTTCGGAGAACCAGTTGTTGGAAGAAATCTTATTTTATTTTTTTCCACTTTACAGGGCTAATCCTGTAAGGCAGGCAGGAAGGAAACATTCTGGTGTTGTTTCTAGCCTAATCTTTATGGCCTGCTTACAGAAACTGCCTCTCTGGTTAACCCTTATTACATTGTAACAGCTAAGGCAAAGTGCCCATCGACGTGAGTGATGTTGAGTTGGCCATGCCCACACGGTCACATGACCACGAAGCCACGCCTACCCAGTTGGTCATTAGGGCAGAGAACTGGTTGTTAAATTATTTGAATCCCACCACTGGGTACAGGGTCTCCTGCTTGAACAAGGCATTGGATTAGAAGACATCCAAGGTTCCTTCTAGCTCTATTTTGAGTGATTGATTGAAACAGTAGCATAAATTTAAAGATGTTTACTTAGGAATAAAATTTTGAGTTTACACAGTATGTATATTGGATGTCAGCCTGATTTTTTTTCTGGACTCCCTGTTAATTTCCACTAGTATTTTTACAGAGGAACTACTGAAGAGAATTAGTCCATTAATCAGAGGAAAATATTTATTTACAGGAATGTAAAATTTATGTTACAGCATTTGAAATAAAATTGTATTGAATATTGACACAAAACCAAAATGTTAAGAAGATGAATGCAAATAAAGATTCTGTCCTATTATTGAAAACCTACATGGCTTTTAAAAATGGCTGTAGAGTTCCCTTATGGATGCGTCATGTTTTGGATTTAATTCAAATGAAGTGTTCTGAAATTTGTAGGAGCTGAAACTATTTCCTTTCTGCAACTCATTAAAGCAGCTGCCTCATGTTCTGAAAAACTCCTTCCAAATTGTATTGTTCAATCCTATATTTTACTCAAGTAATAATACTTTCCATGGTCTTTAAGATTTTTTTTCTCATTTCATAGAAGAATTGTTCTAAACCAAAATGCGGTACAATTTAATGCATATGTTTAAAAAAGAAGGGGAAACATCCTTATGACAATAGAATCAACATTCCATCTCCTTTTCTGGATTCATTTGACTTGCATGCAAGGATATTTGGCAAAGGGATGCAGAAAGCAACCTTGCACATTCTCTTCTTTCTCTTGGTACTTTTATAATCACTGCATGGAGTGAGAAAAAATAATTTATACAGAAAATAGGTAGCTTTTATGGGAACATTGTAATAATGCAACAGACAGAAGGTCAGGGTGAAGGAGCTCTCAGTTCAAGTAAAACATGTGTTCTGCCTACAGAAAATTCCAGCTTGAGTCTCTGGCATCTGAACTAATGCTTAGATTTAGCAGATGGCAGCTTCACGTTTTATTCGCAGGTTTAATTGAGCAACAGGCTGTTCCTTTCCCATAGCTTTTAATCTGGTGATACAATCTGCATTTAGAGATGCTTTACAGATAGCATACTGCATATTCCTGCCTGAATCCTTATGTATGGACATTGTAAGAGTCACATTCAAGCATTGTGAAATCTATAACACCCAACTGAGGCACTGTACAATTGACATCTAGATCTGGATAATTCATGAATTGTATGCGTAAAATGATGCAGCAATGAATTCATGGAAGCCGCATTTCCAAAAATGAAGACTGAAGAAATATTTGTGAAAATATACTAATTGAAGCCTTTGAAGAGGTTTGGGGGAAAGATCATATACCCAGTCAGTGAACACTTACCACAATCAAACACATCTTCTATTTAATTATCAATGTAGACACGATTGAAGTTTTGATGGTTCCTTTGGGCCCTCAGAAAAGTGCTTGCATTTGGTAATGACGTCCTATTAATTAAGTTGACAAACTACACTTATTCTATTCTTATACAGATTAATATGAATTATGATCATAGAAACAATCTAGTTTCAAGCCTCGTTCTCTAAGCAAAACTGAAAAAACAGGACAATGGCATTAATTAACACTTTTTGTATGTTATTGAGAAGAGAGAGATGATGTTTCTGTGGTAAGTCACACATATACAGTATATATGTATACTGTATAGTGTATGATATGGTCTATTCAGTATGATGCACTCATTTTGCAATTCAACTCCAGAGAAACCAATGTATCTATCTACCTATCTGGCTAAAATAGGTTAAAATTAGAGTCTCCAGTCACCTGAGTGAAGAGCTAAAAAAAAAAAGATAGGCATCAAACATGCCAACATGGCAACACTCATAAAAGTATTAAGAGATTTTTGAACCATACTGATCTATAGTTTATCCAAAATGTGCTTATCTGAAGCTAAGGGTAGCAACATAGAGGTTGGGGCATATTGACATTAATAATAGTTTTCTACTGATACCACAGGAAATGGTTTACAGAATATATTCAAATTATATCCATTTTAGTGTAATGATGCATTGAAAATCTTCAAAGACAAATATTGATTTGTTCTTTTCTAAAACCCACTAATGTATGTATTTGCCTTAAAGCAGGAATAAAAAATAATTAAAATATATATATATATATATATATTGGCTCATAAATTTTTGATGATCTCATCATTATGCTGTAAACATTTAAGTGCAATATCACTTGACTGTATATATGATGAACATAAATCATGCTAATCATAAAAATAGCTTTTACAAATATACATTTGTATACAGTATTTCTTTTGCTTTAAATATGTCCTTCATATTATCATACAAGTCATTGGCTATCTGACATCAAAATAAAAAAAAATACCAATGATTAGCCAGGAGAAACACATTTACAGTCTAAACCATAAAAGTATGACAATCGCATAGTTTTAAACATATGTTTTAAAATTTTGAATGGCAGTTTCCATTTCCAAAAGTAAATTCAGTTCTTCATACAAATTGAGTCAAAGATGTTACGAGCTGACAATAAACTGTAGTTTACATTTTCACACAGGGAAGTCTATGAATTATCTTCTCAGCTTCCAAAAGGGTTGTGTAAGGGTCCCAATTCATTTGATCTGTAGAAACTATAACATAAAATATAGTTGTGTTTTAAAACATTTCGAAGAATAGATAATAACATATGTAATTAATAGGAAAATATTTTATAGAAAGCAATTGATTTGGATCAGTTTTGTGAAATGACAAATATTAATCTTTTCTCCAGTTCAAATTTACTCACCCGAATTGATATGACACGTGCAAGAACCTACAGTTCTCTAGTTTTCAGCACCGACTACCTAACCAAGTGCTCTTAATGAGGCAAAAGTAATTCTGAAGTTTCTTATTCTTTTTCCAAGTTAAAAGCAGGGGTGAAATCCAAATTTTTTTACTGTCAGTTCTGTGGGCGTGGTGTGACTTGGTGGGCGTGGCAGGGGGAAGGATACTGCAAATCCCCATTGCCTCCCCACTCTGGGGCCAGCTAGAGGTGGTATTTGCTGGTTCTCCGAACTACTCAAAATTTCCACTACCGGTTCTCTAGAACCTGTCAGAACCTGCTGGATTTCACTCCTGGTTAAAAGTAAATTAAAAATCGACCTATTTCCTAATTTGGTTCATCCACACAATGGCACTAAACTTGGGTAAAAAACATTTGACATTCATTATTAATGCCGATGTATTTTAAGTTTGACACCTATACAAAAACTTTCTGCTTCTCAAAGTAATGTACTACCGGTATACGAAGAACAAAATGAAGTGCTGAAAGTAGGTTCATGTGAAATCAATTAACAGACTTATCAAGTAATCTTTCAAGGGTAGAGATAGGGTTATGAAATTAGAGGCATTAACATTTTCCACATATTGTATGAAGGTCAACTAGTCTGTAGAGCTACTATTATACAATTCCTATTAACGAAGTCACTTTGAAAGCTCTTATCTGCAAGCTCTTTCTATTATTTGTAGTACCAAATTGACAGAACAGCGGAACAGAAGAGGTCTATTTTGTCCTCCTTCAGTTTCTTTCCTGCATCAGAGGCAGCCCTGAAGATTAGTTGAAGAGCTCTGTTGCTCTTCTTAGAATAAAAGCTCACCTTGCAGTTTTTGTTTGTTTTTCTTTGTTTTCTTGCTTGTCTTTTTCTATTATATAAAAGTCAAAAGCCAGGTATTACTGAAGATACATTTTTAGCTTGTTATAAGTACTAAAATACTTCCTTATGCTTAAGAGCATTGTAAATAATCTATTTTTTTTTAAAAAAAAACCACTGCTTTGCTGTTGCTTAAGACCTTAAGAGGTGGGCACCGGCAATCTCAATAACTAGCAGAAAGGACATAAGGATATTTGCAACAAAAAGGTTTATTTTAATGAAATGGGAAGGAAATCCATCTCAGAAGTTCACAAAGAATTAGCAATGTAAATTGATAATGCCATTATTACCAACATTCTCAATCTACAGTAGAGGTCTCTAATATATTCATATTACGACTCCTAGCAAAATCAACTATACAAATGATAGGAGCAGCACTTTAACACATCTGGAGGCACTCATATTGGATAAAGCTACTTTATTAGATTTATGCTTAGATTTCACCACTGTATGCCAGTCTCCAACTTTTCTGGTAAAGAAAGAACTACTTTACTGGGTCCCTGAAAATGCTGGCCCCTGAAACCTAACTAGGAGTTTTTGGTAGTACATGTCCTGGGATTTTGCTTGCAATTTTTATGCAAAACATGAAGTACCGTATTTTTTTTTTTAATCCAGGAAAAGCTCTCTTGAGTGAAAAGTTAAGCATTCATATGAGAACAGAAAGATTTTACAATGGAAAGGTTCATTATATTCATTAAAAAAAATAAATGGGATTTGAACATGAGAGGAAAGCAATTAAGTCTAGCACCATGCCTAAGAAGTTTTTTTCCAGAATAATGGACAGCTGAAATAAATGAATTGAACATTCATTTGTTAGTTCATTTATACAGAATGGAGCAGTAATCTAGTTGAGTGCAATGCTAGCTATATTAAGCACAGAACGTCTGATTTTCACTTTTTGTAACGTAATTTTTTAACAGTTATAGTTTATTAGAAATATAATATGTTTAGAAAGTCTGGCACAACAATACTTTCCAAGTGATCCAAAATTTATTTTTAAAAATTAGTTCTATTGATATTTATCTAGAGAACCACAAGCTTGAATTATTCTAACAATAGTTCCACACATGGATGGCAAATTCATTTAGTTCACAGTTGAACACATTTTCAGAACAACATACAAAGAAAATCATTCAACCTTTATAGTTCTACAAATTGTGTATGGCAATTGCATTTTGTCTGCACCTACCATACAATTCTGGGAAAAGATATGCTTTTACTTTCTCTCTCTCTCTCTCTCTCTTTCTCTCTTTCTCTTTCTCTTTCTCTTTCTCTTTCTCTTTCTCTTTCCCTCCCTCCCTCCCTCCCTCCCTCCCTCCCTCCTTCCATCCATCCATCCATCCATCCATCCATCCATCCATCTATCTATCTATCTATCCATCCATCCATCCATCCATCCATCCATCCATCCATCCATGTGCTTTTGAACTGCTAGGTTGGCAGAAGCTGGGAAAAGTAACAGGAGCTCACCCCGTAATGTGGTACTTAAGGATTCGAACCGCTGAACTGCCAACCTTTCAATCAATAAGCTCAGCATCTTAGCCACTGAGCCATGTTTACTTCATCATTAAATGTTTACTTCATCATAAAAAAAAACATCATTAAAAATGTTTATTTCATCATTAAAAGGTACTATTAAGAGTGCTGGAGATGTAGTTTTAACCAGCCAGTGGAACACACTGAATCTGAAATAGAAGAATTGAGATGAACTACATTTTGCATCTTATAAGATAGTCTGTAGTATTTATATATAAGTTTGTTTATTTATTTATTTATTGTTCAAATTTATATACTGCCCTTCTCCCGAAGGATTCAGGGCAGTGAACAGCCGAAGATAAAAATACATAGAATACAAAATTTAAAAATAGTTTAAAACAAATTAAATAGTATTGGCCCACGACAATTAAAACACCCCCAATTTAAAATCAAATTAAGAACTAAATTACTCAATTAAAAGAGTTAGGCCAGCCCGGCTTGTTAGAATAGAAAGGTCTTGAGGGTGTGGCAGAAGGTGCGTAGATCTGGAATCCTCCTTATCTCCGGGGGCAATTCGTTCCATAGGGCAGGTGCCCCTACAGAGAAGGCTCTCCCCCTGGAGGCCGCCAGCCGATACTGTTTGACCGATGGCACCCCGAGGAGCCCCTCTCTGTGGGAGCGTACTGGTCGGTGGGAGGCTCTTGGTGGCAGAAGGCGGTCTCAAAGACACCCGGGTCCTAAACCATGGAGCGCTCTAAAGGTGGTAACCAGCACCTTGAATCACACCCGGAAGACCACCGGAAGCCAGTGCAGCTCGCGCACGATGTTACATTGGAGTGCCATGTTGCTCCCACAATCACCTGCGCGGTTGCATTCTGGACCAGTTGGAGCCTCCGGGTGCTCTTCAAGGGGAGCCCCATGTAGAGAGCATTGCAGTAGTCCAGACGGGAGGTGACGAGGGCGTGAGTGACCATGCGTAAGGAGTCCCGATCCAGAAACGGCCGCAACTGGCGGATCAGGCGAACCTGATAAAATGCCCCCCTGGCCATGGCCGCCACATGTTCTTCCAAGGACAGCCATGCGTCCAGGAGGACACCCAGGTTGCGAGCCCTCTCTGTGGGGGCCAACAACTCGCCCCCAATAGTCAGCGATGGCACCAGCTGACTATATCGGGATGCCGGAAGCCATAGCCACTCGGTCTTGGCAAGGTTGAGCCTGAGCCTGTTTCTCCCCATCCAGGTCCGCACGGCTTCCAGGCACCAGGACATCACGGCAAGGGCATCATTGGGGTGGTTCGGGGTGGAAATGTACAGCTGAGTGTCATCAGCGTACTGATGGAACTGCACCCCAAAACCACAGATGATCTCACCCAGCGGCTTCACATAAATGTTGAACAGGAGGGGCGAGAGGTCCGACCCTTGCAGCACCCCACACATAAGGTGCCTCGAGGTCAACCTCTGTCCCACTGTCAACACAAACTGCGACCGGTCAGAGAAAGGAGGAGAAACATCGCAGCACGGTGCCCCCCCTCTAACTGGCGCAGCATGATACCATGGTCGATGGTATCAAAAGCCGCTGAGAAATCTAAAAGGACCAGGACAGAGGAACAACCCCTGTCCCGAGCCCTCCAGAGATCATCAACCAATGCGACCAATGCAGTTTCCGTGCTGTACCCAGGCCTGAAACCCGACTGGAGTGGATCTAGATAGATCGCTGGTACTGGGGAAGTTGTCGCGCCACCACACTCTCAACAACCTTCGCCAACCTTATTATTTATAAAGTAATAATAAACATTTCACCAGGCGCTGATATCCACTGATGTAATTCATAGTTATTGCAATAATACATAAATATTAACTATTACATTAATCATTTCAATATGATTGTGGCTCTGATTGAAAATATCCTAATGTCAAATAATTCATCAGATGTCCTTTTTATTTTACAAAAAGGCATGGCATCAATTATCTGCAGTGACTAATCCTCAGGCATAATAGCCTTTCAAAAGAAAATCCATGATAGACAGAACTACAATCACACCTAATAAGAATTATTATTACAGTATTAATAATATTCTGTTGGTATCATTCCAAAGAATAACTTTAAAAATCCTAAAAATGTTTTATTGACATCATTTCTATTTATTAAAAAATAGCACTTTAGAACGTGCTACTATTATAGTTGAATACTGCACTGCCTTTTAAGTTGTGTTCATGATGGGTACCTAGGATATATTCTGGCCCTCTCTAGTCACAAAGGCAAAGTCCTGAATTCCATGAATAATTTATCTAGTTTCATTTCATTATTTTGCTCAGGGCAAGACAGAAACTCAAGAAATGTTTGTTTTCGGGGTAACTTAGGCTAAAGGAAGACTAATAATCAGCAGCAAGACATCATGGAAGAAAGTTCCGTTTTTGGAAAGCAGGGCAAAACTAAAGAATTGCATTATATAATCTAAATTGTTCAAATTAATATTTCCAAGAAATAACTTCCATTACAGAAATCTTTAACTTTTCCATGTTTTTTTGAATTTTGTAGGGCATAATGCAATCTGCAATATTAATATAAGGCTGTTAAGAACCTGACATTTGACCTTTAAATGCTTTGTGACTCCAATCTGAGGTTGCCCCAAACCTCTGTTCTCTGAAGAGGTCAACTAAACAGCCATCCAATATGCTGGGAGCTTATTGTGACTGTGCAAATCTTTTGTTGGAAGGTGCTTTGCAACATTCAGGAAGGCACAGGCATATAAAGCAGTCACCTCTTTTCCCTGGTTCACCCAGCTGCTTTGCAAACTCTACTTTCTGATTCCGCTTGCAAGAAAAGTGAACCTAAATAGTGGTGCACATACACAGATGAGAGGCAGCTAAGAGCAGTTGTTTCCAAATAAGCCACAGCAATTTTGAAAAAAAAACAAAACCCACAGCTGCATTACTGATTAAAAGAAAAGTGCCTTGTAAGATTTCCCATGCATTGCAAAGTACCTTTTTAAAAGAGAGCTTGCATATTATCACCATGAATATGCCTTATTCCTAAATGTCTTCTGATACGTTACTGACCCAGTGTGTGTGTGTCTATAATGACACAATTTTTTTGAGGTAGCTAGATAAGAAACAGTTCAGAGTATCTTACTGAAATTATACTTATGACTACTGAATTTCAAAACATCTGTTTTAGTATCCAAGGGTTTTAGAAGGTCTCTGTCTGAGTTATATATTTTTAAAAAATAGCTCAGTTTATTTTTAACAACCTGCATTTTCCAGATGTGTTGGGACTCAATTACCCATCCACTAGGCAGTTAAAGTTAAGATACACCTGGAAGATGTCAAGCTATGAACAGAACTATCTCTACACAACACCGGTTCCACTCCCTAGGAAGGGATGGAAACAGGAGTGAAAAAAAGTCAATCTTGAGAGAAAGAAAGAGAAATAAATAACCTTGTTATAGGGACAACAAGTATATGTCTCTGTTAAAAAAAAGTACAGAGAAGATTTGTGTTGGAGACAGAGAGCACATCTCTTGAAATGTTTTTTTTTTATTAAATAATGAAAAGAAAACAATTCTAAGTAAACATAGCTTCCTTCCTTTAAAAAAAAAAGATTAAATACTTGCATGGCAATCTCTTTTACTGCTTTGTTTCTTAATTTCATAGTTAGCCCTCTTGTTTTATAAGTATAGGAACAGAAATCTTTTCAGGCAGTGCAATATTTTGCACAGGAGAGAAGCCCAGCTCTCTTGCTTAAAAAATAATAATAAATCAGATGCTGAGAAATGAGGATGTCATCCTGTTTTCATCCCTTTCTAGGAGTGGAATTAGTATTGCACTGGTGTCAGTTCAAATCTTTCACCCTCCAGCATTTTTGTGTGTGCTTACGTCTATGTACTAGATAGGGTTGAGAAGGGAGATATCTTTATATTTTAATTCAGAATGGCTGCAAGATAAAAGAAATAACAACAAGGCCACACATTTTCTTCAAGGTTAGCTTCAAAATCATAGGGACACTTGAAATTTGAAATCACAGTAGCCTATATACTTTTATATATTAAATCAAACATTTCATTCATTTCAAATTTAATCCACCATCTTCAGGAAATAATCTGTGGTACATTCCAGCTGGCTAGAAACCCTTTCAGCAGCTGTCAGTCGAACACATTAATTGAAAGCGAATTCCACCACAATCCAGAAGAGCTATGCCCAAGCAGATAGGTCTATTGCTTTGCATTAATAACTTGACAAAAAAGTCATTATGCTTTAATTTGCCCTGTCTAAAATATGCAATTGAAATGCTTTCAAGCTAGTTTCAGTAGGGGAGATGTGATGGATATTAAATTTGCTATTAACGAATTGAAATAATAGTATTCATAAAACATTGCTTCTCTCTAACAAGTCAGCAAAGAGAGTGCAGGGCAAAGAAAAGGCATTATTGGTGTAGGTGGCAATGATAGTGATGCAAATGGCAGCAGTCCCTTGCTGCAGATTCTGTCATTGATAGCTAAATAGGAGCAGAAGGTACATCCATCCCCCATACCGTCTTCACATTTTCCAGGGCAATTTAAACGCTTCCCAAAGGTTCTTTCACAATTGCAACAGATTGACTCTGCACCCCTGGAAAAAAATATCTTGACAAAACCACTTTGCATAGTTGTTTGTATCTGTTCAGTTGATCTTTAAGTTTTTTTCTATGCAACAATTTGCTCCTGAAAAACTCTTTAAAGAGAATCTTTTTGCTTTTTTCAGAATCACATTAACAATGCATAGGCATAGTGCACATCACAGATTACAAAATCTGATGACTCTTGTGTTTTACTTCTCCTACAGCTATAAAATAGTTCCAGCTATTCACGGAGGTAAGAGATGACCTTGCTGAACTCTTTTATGCTGCTGATTTTTGCTGTCAGCAATAATTCACAAGAGAAAAGGAACATAGCCCTATCCTTATTCGGAAGCAGAAGCCATATGACTGCTATTCCATAAGGCTAATTGTAGTTCTGCTTATGACAGCCTTATACATTTAAGATGCACAAATGAGGAACAGATTCCACCATCTCCTTCTGTGCTTTGGTGCCTCTTTAATTATTGCCACTAAGTGTTGATGTGCCACTAAATCACATTATCAATAAAGAAGATTCCTTAGGACAGATGTGAGATGCTCCCCTGTTTAGTTCTTTGTCCAGCTCACTCTATTAATTCCTCTCATTGGCCCGCTCCAGCTTTTGGCACCTTGTGAACATTATTTAGAAGGCAAGATCAGTGTGATAGGAAAGTATCACCCCTTTATCACTTCCTTTTGGCCAACTTGCTTTCTTGTCTTGTTAAAAAGGTTTGCAAATTTGGAGAGTTCCATAAAATGCCTTTGTTGGAGAAGACAGTTCAAAGGAAAAAAATGCAGACATTTGATTGGAAGTAATAAGTACGATGTGACTAAACACATTATTCTCAAACATACACTCAACCACAACCCCCAAATCTCTATATGTAATTTTCCTTTATTCCCAGATATTGACTACACTGCAGGCTTTCTTTGGCCATCAATAAGAGATGAGTCAATACTATTTTGGCAACGTGTGTTGGATTTGACTGAACCTAAATTTTGAGTAGAGGCAAATCTGTAGTTTAATGAGGCAAAGCAGGATCTACAGGAAATAGCAGTGCTTTGTGAATGATTCAGGGTGCTGAAGATAATGAACTATAAAACACTGAGGTAGAATGAGAAGGTGGGAGAAGAATGCAATGATTTGTAACTGCAAATCTTTCTTCTACTTAAAAACACTTTATGGGGAGCTCTATACTCATCCCCTTTTTGTTGCAGATGACTCAGAATTCCTCTTGAGCATTTTGGATAAGAAATATGTGATTGCAATAAATATATTTTGAAAGTTAATTTATATTTTGAGAGGTTCACCAAATTTATTCCATCATTATTTTTTAAAATTAATTTTCAGGTTTGACAACACATCTAGAGAGTATATTGGATACATAAGTATCAGCCTACAAATGTGCATTTGATTTTCGACATTTTTCAGATTTATCACTAATAATAATATTTTAAGTTAATATGTTTCCTAACTCCCAGTGCCTCTGGGTGGTTTATGCTAGTTTTGGACAGTTTTGGAATAAGAAACTTAGAACTTAACTCATTTTAGCTCCTCAGTTCAAGAGGTATCAGTGACTTCACTGAAATCCTGGTTATTTGAATGGTTGTTTCCACAGGAATCAGGTTCAATGCTCACTTTTAATTTTGCAGGACACATACAATATATAAAATATGTTTTCATAGCAGAAAACCTTCGCTATGGGATAATCTCAGTTTAAAAATAAATTTGGTATAAACTAGACCTGATACAAGGTTACTTTGGTTCAATTTACATCTAAGGAAGCCATTTTAAAATAACACAGAATTTAAAAATTAGTTTGATTTAGCCCAAAATACTTACTGGCATTATAGTCAACTTAAGCACTTGTTATTTGATTTATTCAGTAGAGGTGCAATTGCTGCGTTACGTTAAAGGTTTTAGAAGAATTATCCATACAGTAACCTTTTTTAAAGGAAGATGATATTATTTACTTAACCTTCGGAATAATGCTTGAAAACCCTATCCTGGTAAGCAATAAAGAGTTGCATTAAAGGTATAAAATTCATTTCCTATTATCTTAAAATGGAGACTATAAAGCAACAAAAAAGTGCTTTTATGTATTCTGGATATATCAGATAATATTTATTAACAGTGGTTATAATCATTCTGCTACTGTAGATTAAATTGGAAGATGGAACATGGTAGCCACCTCTTGTTATTCTGTTTCCCCTTTTCTTTACTGTACATAGGACACTTGTAATTTCTTACCAGCTCATTACTACCATCCTCATCAAAATCTTCCTCTATCCCATCTGTCATTTCTTCTCCGTCCCCATCCAGCCCTCCTTCAATAGGCTCTTCTGTAGAGTTGTCGGCATTCTCTGATGTGCATTCTTCTTGGATCAACTCTACACAGTCTTCTATTTGTTTCTTTTGAACTTCTGGAATATACAAATTACCATATAATTCCACTTGCATGGAATTATCACATTTATGGATTATTAAAAATTATCAGAATAAAGGACTATTCATATAATTAATAGCACATTTATCAATTAAACCACATACCATATTTTTCGGAGTATAAGATGCTGCAGACTATAAGATACACCTACCTTTTTTTGGGGGGAAAACAAGGAAAAAAAAAACTGCCTCTGCCTCCAGCATCCATGCTGGTTTGCCGCAGCCCATTTGCCGCTGCCGCAGCCCATTCACCACCACCCATTCGCCACCGCAGTCCATTCGCCACAGCGTGTTTGGTGCAGTGCGTTTAGTGCTGCCGCGGCCCATTTTCCACCATCACAGTTTATTTAGCGCAGCCCGTTCACCACTGCCACGGCTCATTTGCCGCCATGGTGGCCTGTTCATCACTGGCCTGTTTGGCATGGCCCATTCGCTGCCACTGCGGCCCACTCTAGAACAGCTGATCAGAGCCACACCAACTCCCTTCTCCCGCAACACTAGCTGTATTAAGACATATCAAAATTTTCATCCACTTTTGGGAGGGTGAAGTGTGTCTTATATTCCAAAAAATATGATAGTTAATTAACTTATAGACATTTATTTAATAGAAGGGAGTAGACTATATATTAGTATAGAGATCCATTCTCTATCATCTGAAGACGATGAAAGTTGAGATAACAAGTGGATAATATTTCATATCAATATGAACAGTGATAACAGAGAACCAGAGATGAGTTTTGAAGAAAAAATGTATAATAGTCTGATTAAATCTAGTCCAAAGGAAAACAATTCTGTGAACTGCCACGAGTAAATGATTGGGAAGAAAATAAGATAGTACAAAAGAAAGTTATTGAGCAATTTGGTATCCTAAGAATGAGAATGATGACTTCAGAGTAACTTCTTAGAAAAGGTCTATTTTAAATATGCTCTATAAGCATGACCTTATTATATTATAAAGGAATTTTGCCATTTTATTTGCTCTGAAATTTTTGTTTTAAAATTACTTTTTTATTTTGGAGCAATTCAAAATTTTTGAATAGCTATTGCAAAAAATAAAAAATAAAGTCTTCTTGTCCACAACAGGTGTTGCCATTGCTAATAGTGGCATTGATTTTTTAAGAGATACTGAGTTACAGATTTCATTAAAGGATGCATAAAACTTATTTAGTTTTAATTGTGAACTGTTTCACTTTTGGATATTTCTTTAATTCTTTCTTTAATTCCATTTTATTGTATTTTATACTGTTGAATTATTTAGCCAATTTGTTCCCATTTTTTAATTCAACTGGACAACAGAAGATTTTTTTTGCATTATCTTGCAAACAGTCCAGTAGGGATTAATCCCAAATTGTATAAGACATTGTATGGAGGGTTTTTTTTTTGGCAAAGAGGGGAGTCTCATTAACATTACATGTGTGTCTAACTAGATATGAACTCCAGTGAATCAAGATTTAATTTCAAATAAGAAGAAACAGCCAAATGTTTTGGAGAAACCCTATTAAAGGACTGTCCTATCTTTTCTTCTTGACTCAATAAGTTTCAAGAATCAGTTTAAATATTGTATTCTCTATTCAGGAGAATACTCAATAAAAGCAGTTTTCCTATAATGTAGATTATAAATACATCCAATCTGTGTCGGTCACAAGGACCAGAAGTTTAGTCTGTCAAACTGGAGTAATTGGATTCGTACTGGAGCCCATCCTGGGCTCCAGTACGAATGGGCTCCAGTTTGGTGAGAAAGAAATCCAATTTCTTTCTCACCAAAACATTCTCGTCTTGGAGCATTCTGGTGAGAGAGAAGTTCCCTGAGGATGGGCTCCAACGTCTGAAGATTCCAGCTTGGAAGACTAAACCTCTGATACTGGCGACCAATCCAGATTAGATATACTGTAATATAATCTGCGTCATAGGAAAACTGTGATTTTATTGTTACTTGTCTCTCACCAGAGAGAATAAATTGCCTTTTGAATTTAATTTTAACTGGTGGATCATGATAGAATTTTTAAAATTTACTTCAATTTTTAGGTTTACATCTAAATCTAAAATTGAGGAAAACTTAAACACCTTAACTTAAACTCAAAATTTTAAAACAAACACCTTAATTTAAACACCTCCAAATTTTCACTGGTACCTACCTCCAACCTCGAATGACAATATAATTGATTTTACAGTGGATTAATTCATGTTTTAATGAGTTACTAAGAGTTATAGGCAATTTTCTTCTACCTGTTTGAGCTTTCTGCTGCTTTTCAATCTTCTCCAGTCTCCCTAGCAAAGAATCAATTTTTGTTTTGATCTGCGTTAATTCCTTCTTGATTGTCTGCAATTCATCTGATTTCACTAAAAGTGAAAAAAGAATAGAACAGCAATAATAAAATGGTATAATATTATTTCTTTTAATATTAAATAATTAAATATTTAATATTTAAATATACTACATTATACTAAAGAATACACTGCTAATAAAGCAAACATTTTTGGAAGGGAGTATAGTCACCTAAACATCTAATTACCCTTAGTTATTTTCAAAACTAAAGAAGTTAGTTCACAATGTATGCATGAACTCACATTTTGATCCTGCTGAAGAAGCTCCACTTGATATAGACCTTGATGTCCCTTTCATGGAGAAGACTCCTTTTCCTCTGCGAGTTGCTGTGACTGTTACTCGTGGGCGTTTCAATGGAATCACAGCACGAGGTGGGGCAGGAACCCGGGTGTGATAATCAAATAACCTTCAGAGAAATAGAAACAGAGGCTTCGGAATGTTCAATTGTAATTTTATGTTAGGTAGATTTTGCATACTAGGTTCTGCTCTTTCATATGAGAAAGCTGACCTCCAATATTTCAAAAGGTTTAATCAGAGTTAAATTACCGTGTTTCACCAAAAATAAGACCCTGTCTTAAATTTTTTTGAACCCTGAAATAAGCGCTTGGCTTTATTGCAATGCACTCAAAAGCCCGATTGGGTTTATTATCAAGAAATGTCTTATTTTGGGAGAAACAGGGTAGATTTCAAGAGTTCATCAATAACAATATTTATATTTCATTACAGTCAATGTGTAGCTGTTTTTTTTCCACGAAGAACATCATTACAAACTGACTTTGCCGTAATGTGAACATTTTTATCTATATAATTTTATTTCAGTCAATTAATTATGAAACTATTAAAAGCAATTCCACTTTCCTTTGCAGATGTGTTTGGATTACAGTTCCCTGTACTCTCAGAAATCATGGTTTTCCATAATATCTATACATATAAAGAGCACATAGCTAAGCTGACACATCAGATAAACTGAAGTACTTCTAACTCACAAAGAGAATGATAAGAACTTCAAGTGTTTTGGAGAATGATAAATGTCTTTCCTTGATACAGTCCCATTAGCTTCTCATCAAATTTTAACTGTTTATAGGAATGAAAAACATTATTTGCACTGATATCATACTACCAACTTCAAATCATATTGGTTTTAAATATATGGTTGTCATTAGATAAACATGCATAATTATGTGCATACTTTCCTGGAACAAGTTAGAATTGCTTATGGGTAAATATGCCCCCAAATGATCTACATATATATGATAATCAACAGGAGATGCCAATACAGAAATACTGTATTTCTGATTTGTAGTTTATGTGTTTGAAAATTTTTGCAATATATCTAAGTAGTCTGGCTTGTCTTTTTCGATAATGGTACTAATATTCTGTACTAATATTTATATGCATACAGAGTTCCCAGCACAACTACCAGCAAAGCTCTGTAGCTCTATTCATGGCTAGGAGAGCTTGACTGAGTGAAAACCTTGTCCAAAAGGAAAACAACAACAGCTGACAGCTTATTAAACTGAGAAAAAAAATGTTTTACATATAAGTAACTAACTATAAGTATTTAATTTATTTAAGGATATTTAAACTTAACTGTAATGAACATCATTACATTTGTACATCAACATATAAATCGAAGGAAGGTTATCCTTTTATCTAAAGGATCTATCTAAAAAGCCTTTCCCATAGACCCAGTTCAACTCTAACACAATTCCTGATGATTTCCTGAGAAAATTAATGCTCTCTTCCCAATCTCTTATAATAAATAAAAATGCAGTTCATATATGCAAAGGCAGGAAGAAAGGTACACATACCGATTGTAGAAATCATCTCTGTAATAATCATAATCAAAGACATAACCACTGCAAGAAGAGCAAAGAAAAGTCCCATGAAGAGATGAGGCAAATTATATTAGTTAATAATAATTTGTAAGGCATGAATCACAATAAGAATTTTTATCTAAGTTTGGTCTTATGGTTAAGGCACCAGGCTAGAAATTAGGAGACTATGAACTCTAATCTCATCTCAGGCATGAAAGCTTCGTGGGTGACTTTGGGCCAGTCACTCGCTTTCAACTCACCTGACCTCACAGGTGGGGGAAATAGGAGGAAGAAAGGAGTATTAGATATGTTTGCCACCTTGAGATAATTATTAAAAAATAATAAAAGCAGGGCAAAAAAAATAAACTAATTTTTAAAGTAAAAATAAAAGTAATATCCTATACTTTGTTCATATATAGTACTAAAACTTGTTGGCATAATCTTTAATTGGATGAAATGGTGTATCATAGGACAATAATTTTTTGAACCAAAAAAAATGGTTCATATGGTCTAATATATAGAATATGTCCAAAATCTGAGACCCATGCCTCCAAAGAAAATGACCTTTTGGAAAGTTGTGGTTATGGTCATGTGAGCTTTATTTTTAATGTTTTTAATGTTTCATGACAGTGTCCCAGCCAGAGGAAGCTTTTGGATATGTATTTCTTTACCCTCTGCTAGACAGAATCCAATTATGAGTTCAAATAGAGTTGTAAAAATCAAATTTAAGTTAAGGTGCATGTAAGCTTGAGTTGTATCATGTCCCCCCTCCATCCCATGAAAACAACATTTGTGACTCATGCAAAAATATTTGCCTCAATTCTCTCCCTCGCCTACCACATTTAAAAAGTCGTTCTTGGAGACTTCCTGTTTGCTGCTGGCCGCCGCCAGACGTTCCTTAGGGATCGTCAGCTTCCACTGCCTGTTAGAGCCGCCTTCACAACGGAACGGCGGCTCGAAAAAACTCCGTTCCCATGAGGAAACGGAGATAGAGCCGGCAGGGGTGGGTAGAACTCTCTGCAGAGTCCCAAAAGTTTTTCTTTTACTTTTGGGATGGAGCGGATGAGATGCCCCATATCCCCAGCCGTTGCTCCGGGCTTTGGGAGACCTCTGCTAATGCAGAGCCAGGCGTCAAAAGCAAGCTTGCGAATTTGACAGATTACTCAAAGAAAATGTGAGCTGGACCTGTAATACTGAAGCGCAAGTATTTTACTTATCTTTTAAAAATTACTTAAGAGAATAGAGGAAGAGAAAGAGGAAAAAAGTTTCTTTTTAAAATGGCGTCTGCCGCGGCTGGAGAAGAGTTTGAGAGGGAAAGTTCTTCCGTTTTTTATTATTACAATGTAGCGGAATAAATACCACTGGCTACATTTGTAGACAAAACTCCGCTCCTGTTTTTGTTTTTCTCTTTTTTCCCTGGAGGCTTGAGTGTTGCTGGCTGGAAGTCTTTTGTCTTGTTTTTTTTTTTTTTTCTTCTTCTAACAAAGCCTGCTTAGGCGGAAACATGGCACTGAGGCTTGTGAAGTCAGACAAACAAATAGGTGGGGGGGATTCCCCCACCAAGAATTTAAAGCAATATGTTTTAACTCTTCAGTCCCAGAAACCTGATTTTAATATAATAGAATTTCTCTTAGAGGAGATTGAAAGAAGGGATGAGATTGTGAATCAGCAACTTGAAAAATTTAAGCAGGAAACTAAGGAATTGGTGAAATCCAAGTTTGACTTTTTGCAGCAAAAAATTTTAAAATTGCCAGAATTCATGATTCGGTTGGATACAAATACTAATTTACTAGAGTCAAAAATGGATGAAATTCAAGATAAATTGGACAATAGAATTCAAAAAATTGAAAATGATTTGTTAAATATTCAGGATTATAGTTCAGAAGAAAAATTTAAAATGGATGCTGACCAAAAGTCTGGTAATGTAGAATATCTGGAACAGAGGATTCAAAAAGAGGTTCTAAAGATACAATATAATTTCACAGAATATGCAATAAGACTTAGAGGTTTGCAGGAAAATAACAGAGATGACTTAAGGAAAATATCTTCTGAATTTCTAGCTGGGATTTTAAAGATTCAACCTGAGGAAGTGTTTTGTAGGATTGACAGAGCTTATCGAATAAACTCTTGGACTGCCAAGCAAAGGCAATTGCCTAGAGATGTGGTAATCTATTTTTCAGATAAAGAAATTAGGAATAAAATTGTGCAAAATTCCTTCAATTCTAATTTGCAATTGTATGGAAGAAAGATTTGGATTTACAAGGAACTCCCACCTAAGATATTAATGGAAAGGAAGAAATTTGGCTTTCTGGTGTCTGAGTTAAAAAGGAGAAATATTCAATTCCGGTGGGACGTCCCAGTTGGTATTATATTGAGATATCAAGGAGAAAGATACCAGTTAAATACTGTTGAAAGGGCGGAAGAATTTTATCAAAATAGGTTGAAAATGAATTTAACGTCTTCAGATATAATACAGGATAAGCAGAAGGAGCTGGAACTAAAGACAGAGACTGTACCAGATAAATTGCCTTTGGATTTATCGGATACCCCAGCTGGATTATCTACAAATTTGAGAGAAGTGCCATCTGATTTTAATGTGATGACTTATCAAGGCAAGGACAAGCATGGAAACCAATTAGAGGATATACAAGGGATAAAAAAGAAATGCGAGACACAAAAAATTAGGATGGAGGTCAAACCCACAAAAAGAAAACAAAAAAAGAAATAGGTTGTACAAAAATAGAAATTTCTAACCCAAGCAACAGTGAAGCCAGTGATTTTAAAATATGAATGATTATGTGAAAACATAGAGGAGGCGACATATTGGTCAATATCATCCTGAGGATAGTGGCAGATCTCTGCATTGCCGTAATTTTGGGACATGGAAAGAGCCTCAAATTGATGGTTTTGAATTATCTATTTTGAAACTTCTTTTTGTGTTGATAAATATATTATAATTATCTTGAATTATAAGGCAAGAGAATCACATTGGGACATGCAGAAGATCGGGTTGTTACCCAATACGATGATGGAAATTAATAATCCTGATGAAACCCACAATTATTATTATATGGAATACAATTATAATGTCACTCGGGTGGTTGTTTTTACTTTTATATATATAAGAAGATGTTTACTACTGATGGGGGCAGATATGATTGGAGATCTTGAATAAACTGTTGCATCCGCAAGCTATGTCACCCTATTATGGATGTTGGTTTTAACAATCCAGTGGAAAGACTTCAAGAAGATATTATATGGACTATAAATTTAAAGTTATTGTCTTTTCTTTTTTTTATTTAGATATAATGGAATATATATATATATATATTTTTAAGTAGTGTGGGCAGTGAATTAAAGATATCAAGAATTGTTGTGTATGGTAAATTTGTAAGACAGTGGGTGAATAAGCTAGCTACAGACTGATTAGTTTAAGAAAAGGGATTTTTAAGTGATACATTTAGGGGAGTGGAGGAAATGGATAGAGTGGAATAAATGTTAAATTAGATTTTATGGGGAGCCCGCTTTGAAATGTTATTAAAGTAGGACTTATTGTATAGTTTTAAAGTGGAAGGTGGTTTTGAATTGTTGCAATAATGCATAGATATAAAACACTATTATGCTAAATTAGAGTTATTTTATAATAGTTATAGTATAATGTGTTTGTTTTTTTTTGTTTTGTTTTTTTTTCTCTTCTTCTTTTCTGAAATGTATGGATAAAGGGGGATTTATAATACTTTTAGTAAGTAAAGGTCAGTATTTTGAGGAGGGAGTAAGTAATCTGTTATGAATTAGGGTTTTTTTTTTGTTATGAAGAAGTCACAGGGGGGGAAGGGTGGGGAGGGGGGGTTAGGGAGGGTGGGGAGGGGGGGGAAAAAGGGGGAAAAATTTGTATTTGAAAACCTTTTCAATAAAAAAAAAAAAAAAAGTCGTTCTTGAAAGCCTGTCACTTTCCTTGATATGAATGTCTAGGCATCAAATGGTCACTTACTTTTATACCAAATAAAAATATTTATTGTGTGATTTTGATATACCGTATTTTTCGGAGTATAAGACACACCGGTGTATAAGACGCACCTTAGTTTTTAGGGAGGAAAATAAGAAAAAAGCTGATTGGTAGGTGGATCAGTCTCCCAGAATACCCCCAATCAGCTGTTCCCAGAGGTGAATTTTAGCAACAGATTCATTGGTTGTGAATTCTGTGCCTTGCTTTTTTTCCTGCTTCTGAAACTCTGTTTCAGAAAAAAACTTTTCTGCCTCTGAAAGCCTCCGAAACAGAGCTTCAGAAAGGAAGGCTTTTTTTCCTGAAGCTCTGTTTGGAGGCTTTTTTTCTGAAGCACTATATATACTCTGTTCAATCTCCTTTCTTTGGTATTGGCATGTAGATTAACCTCTTCCAATCTGTTGGTTATTGTGTCATTCTCCAGATTTGTTAGCATAATTTGGTTACTGATTCTTCTTTTGTTGCTTGCCATATTATTTTAAATAAAAGCCTTTCTGAGGCTTTTTTTCTGAAGCTCTGTTTGGAGACTTTTTTTCTGAAGCTTCTGAAGTTTCTGAGGCTTTTTTCAGCCTCTGAAATCTCTGTTTGCGAGGCTGGGCAGGGCTACATTTGGAGTATAAAACGCACCCAGATTTTCATCCTCTTTTTTGGGGGGAAAAGGTGCATCTTATATTCTGAAAAATATGGTATATATAAGCCAAATGGTAAACATATGAATAACAAAAACAAGCTAATAGTATGAACTTCCAGAATGAATCATTTTCTTTTCTTTTGAAAAATCCTGTTGAATCACTCACATCCCCTCCCCTCTCTCTATGGTAATGAAAATAGAAAATAAGAAAGAAGTAGATGAAAACATAAAGTTGAAAACTGAAGATGGTAATTTTTCTGAATCATAATAGATAATGACTGTCTCACTGGCAGTTACTGACAAGCATAATAGGCATTATTTGCCTAATTCACATCCATATGCAATTTACAGTCTATGTTATTATATATAACAAGAGACACATGCAACCTCCTTATTTCTTATAGTGAT